GAGATCAGCTGTTTGCGTATATGTACCACATTTTCTTTATCCATTCAACCATTGATAGATGCTTAGGTTGATGCTATATCCTGGCTATTGTGAATAATGCTGCAATGAACCTGGTAGTGCAGATATCTCTTTGACATACTGATTTCATATCCTTTGGATATAAGCCCAGTAGTAGGATTGCTGGATCATACGTAGTTCTATTTTTAACTTTTTGCAGAACTTCCATACTGTCTTCCATAATGGCTGTACTAATTTACATTCCTACCAAGAATATGCAAGAATTCCTTTTTCTCCACATCGTTGCCAACACTTGTTATCTTTTGTCTTATTGATAATAGCCGTTCTAACAGGTGTTAGGTGATATCTTGTTGTTTTAATTTGCATTTCCCTGGTGACTGCTGATGTTGATAATTTTTTCACATATCTGCTGGCCATTTGCATGTCTTTTGAGAACTGTCTTTTCAGGTTCTTTGCCCATTTTTAAATGAGTCGTTTTCCTGCTATTGAGTTGAGTTCCTTATGTATTTTGGATATTAACTCCTTATCAGATCTATAGTTTATAAATATTTTTTCTCCATTCTGTAGGTTGTATCTCCATTCTGTAGGTTGTACCCTATTGTTTCCTTTGCTGTGCAGAAGCTTTTTAGTTTCATGTAATTTCATTTCTGTACTTGTGCTTTTGTTATTGTGCTGTTGAGATCATATCAAGCTGGGATTACAGGCATGCGCCACCATGCCCGGCTTATTTTGTATTTTTAGTAGAGACAGGGTTTCTCCATGTTGGTCAGGCTGATCTCGAACTCCTGACCTCAGGTGATCTGCCCACTTTGGCCTCCCAAAGTGCTGGGATTACAGGCATGAGCCCACCGCGGCCGGCCTGTAGTCAGCTCTTTAAGGCAACAATTTATTGGCTCAGGTGACTGGCACAAGCCACTTCTCTTTTGCTCATTTCATCCTTTGTGGCGAGGATCAGCAACAGTGCTAAATGAGAGCTTGTCAACACCTTCTGTAAAAACACCAGCAGGAGCCGGAGAGCTGCTTCTCCCATGTGGCTCAGACACTTAATTCCAGCTTCTCTACGCCCTGCATGATGGTATCATCCACTGTTGTGTAAATCTGTATGTTTTCTAAATAAATACACTGTTCAAAGTTATGCTGAAACAACATTCCTAATAAGTCTTTGAGAACTGAGTTATTAACTTTTTATCATACTATTGTAATGGTTTCTTATATATATTATATATGCAAAATGCAGAGTACTATGGAAAAAGTTATTAGAATAAATCACTGATGATCACTATGGACATTACAGAATGGTAAGATTATTTTTTAAATCATAATAGTTTTATTAAAAAAATAAGGCTGGGAGCAGTAGCTCACACCTGTAATCCCAGCACTTTGGGCATCAGAGGCAGGAGAATCACTTGAACCCTAAAGGCAGAGGTTGCACTGGGCTGAGATTGCCCCACTGCACTCCACCGTGGGTGACAGAGCGAGACTCTGTCTCAAAAAAAATGAAAAGAAAAGAAAGAGAAATAAATAACAGTGGACTGGAAATCAAAAGGCCTGAGTCCATCTTAGGTAACTAACAAGGAAACACATATATTTGGATATTTTTTACCTTCTTTTTTTCATTGGTTAAAAATGAAGGAAGCATCGGGCATGGTGGCTCACACCTGTAATCCCAGCACTTTGGGAGGCTGAGGCGGGCAGATCATGAGGTCAAGAGATCGAGACCATCCTGGCTAACACAGTGAAACTCCATCTTTACTACAAATATTAAAAAAAAATTAGGCTGGCACCGGTAGTCCCAGCCACTCCGGAGGCTGAGGCAGGAAATGGCGTGAACCCCAGAGGCATGTGAGATCGCACCACTGCACTCCAGCCTGGGCAACACAGCGAGACTCCATCTCAAAAAAAAAAAAAGGAAGGGGATAGAAAACTGGAATAGAAAATTATTAAGGTTTATTCCCACTCTGAAATCACATGTTGTCATATTTAGAAAGCATTTTAAAATGGTATGCATAAATAATTAGAGGCTTATGTTCAAAACTAATTAAAGTTCATTGAAGGCGGAGGTAGAGTGTCATTATAAAAGTTTCATGAATTGTCTTAATAGTGAAAGAACACTCAAATTCTAATGGGATGAATTTTGCCTGAATTACACTTTTAAAGTAAAGTTTCCATGTGAATTATTATGAAGCCATCATTGATCAGCTATTTGATTTTGAAAGTTTCTTCATTTGTAGAAAGGGAATAAAATACCCCTTAGAAAGTTGTAAGAATAAATGAAATAAACTTCTGAATTATAAGAATCACTCAGTCAATAGAACTCTTTTTTTTTTTTGAGATGGAGTCTCACTCTGTCGCCCAGGCTGGAATGCAGTGGCACAATCTTGACTCACTGCAAGCTCAGCCTCCCGGGTTCACGCCATCCACCTGCCTCAGCCTCCCCAGTAGCTGGGACTACAGGTGCCCGCCACCACGCCTGGTTAATTTTTTGTATTTTTAGTAGAGATGGGGTTTCAACATGTTAGCCAGGATGGTCTCGATCTCGTGACCTCATGATCCACCCGACTCTGCCTCCCAAAGTGCTGGCATTACAGGCGTGAGCCACCGCGCCTGGCCAATAGCACTGTTTTTACTTAAAAACCTCAGGATTATTGGGCTCTGAGCTCTTGTCAAAATTCACTCAAATTTCACCTTCTCCAGGACATGATCTGCTTATTTAGTCTTTCTCTCCCTTCTAAAATATATACTCCATAAGGGCAGAGATTTTTGTTCTTACTGCTCTCCAGCACCTGGAAAACTGCTTGGCAGATAGTTGATGCCAAAAAATACATATTTTTTAAAATTAATTAGGGAACAACACAATTACCAAGCACTTAACTATGAACCAATAGCTCTACTTCACAAATGATTAAGTTCTTAATTGGTTATTATTTCTGTAATTTATGATGTATGAATTTTTTAAGGTGTTATGAAATACTAGTTGATAAGCTGGGTATCACATTAATCTTATAGTTTTTCTTCTCACAGTATGGCAGAGGGTTCCATTCTCTAAGTTGCTATTGGCCTGTACACCCAACACAGATCCTCCCTGCATCTTTCTAGTGGGCTCTTGGGGCTTAGTAATTTTCTCCCATAGACAGGTTATATTGAGACTTGCCTTGTGACTCAACAGCAAAACAAAAGTAAGAGAACTTTAGGAAATCTTGAGTTCAGATTTTTTAAATAAGATCTTCACTTCTAGTCTGTTCCCATTTGGTAATATGGTTGGACTGAATTTCTCCATTGCCCTTGACTCTAAAGTTCTGGACTTTCTGCTCTTGTTTTCCTCCATTATGGAAAAATGACAAATTGTTCTGAAAAGTCTGAATGTTTCGGGTCACTGCTTTGTACCCAGAAAAAAATGCAGGAAATCTCAAATCCTCACAAAGGGCAGGAGGACATGGTAAATTAATGAAAGAGTCGGGGTAGCAAGAAGCAAATGTAAGAATTTTATTTTTTGTATTGTACTGTGGTATAAGAATGTAACATAACTATGTTAGAGATTAAATTTTCTGATGTAAAATTCAAATATCCAATTAAAAATAGGTATTTTGATTATATTTTTCTTCTATAAATATTTTTGCCTGCCGGGCACGGTGGCTCACGCCTGTAATCCCAGTACTTTGGGAGGCCAAGGCGGGCAGATCACAAGGTCAGGAGATCAAGACCATCTTGGCTAACACAGTGAAATCCCGTCTCTATTAAAAACACAAAAAAATCAGCCAGGTGAGGTGGTGGGCACCTGTAGTCCCAGCTACTCGGGAGGCTGAGGCAGGAGAATGGCATGAACCTGGGAGGCGGAGATTGCAGTGAGCCGAGATCGCGCCACTGTACGCCAACCTGGGTGACAGAGCGAGACTCCGTCTCAAAAATAAATAAATAAATAAATAAATAAATAAATAAATAAATATTTTTGCCTGGAACCAGAGAAATGTGACAGTTTCTCCTGCCCTATTTGGGGTCAGTATTTTAGTCCAATAAATAAAAAAGTTTTTCACAGACATGGTTTTTCTAAAATAGATTTCCTTGCTCAGTTTTGTTTTTTGTGGGTTTTGTTTTGTTTTTTTTTTTTTTTCATACACTTAAAATAGCTACCTGGGCCGGACATGGTGGCTCATGCCTGTAATCCCAGCACTTTGGGAGGCTGAGGCGGGCGGATCACGAGGTCAGGAGATCGAGACCATCCTGGCTAACACGGTGAAACCCCGTCTCTACTAAAAAATACAAAAAAACTAGCTGGGCGAGGTGGCGGGCGCCTGTAGTCCCAGCTACTCGGGAGGCTGAGGCAGGAGAATGGCGTGAACCCGGGAGGCGGAGCTTGCAGTGAGCTGAGATCCGGCCACTGCACTCCAGCCTGGGCGACAGAGAGAGACTCTGCCTCAAAAAAAAAACAAAAAACAAACAAAAAAAACCATTATTTTTGGACTAAAAAGTATTTTTCAGCTTGAATACCTTATTCTCCATATTTGGGTATTTGTTTATTTATAAAAGTTATTTTCATCTAAACAATTAAAGAGTTGCCAACATTGATATTTTGGGCTGTCAGATCAGACTGTACACCTGGAGTCCAGTCTTAGCCCATGGATATCAGAGTGCCACTTTCACCAGATAATTCCAAAGAGTTGTTGAGAAATACCTTGAGAAATAGCAGCATCATAGTATATGTATGTATGTATGTATGTATGTATGTATGTATGTATTTGTGAGGTGATTAAAGAAAACGATGTTTGGGTAAAGTCTAGTATTGTCTGTTTAAAATGAAGTTACATTATCTTATATTGTATATGGGTTGTTTCTTATATTATTTTTGTTCTGAAATTAACAGTTGTACATTTTCTTCCAAAATAATGTAATTGCTATTTATCTGATATATTTCGTAACTTTATTATGAGCCTAAAATTATGAAGTAGAAAAAACAGAACCTTCCTTTTTTTTTTTTCTTTTTTTAGACTACAACAAAATCACAATTAAATCCAGCCTTTGAAGATGCCTGGAGCAGCAGTGATGAAGAAGGATGAATATCACCTTTAGTACCTTTGTGTCTCTGCTGAAACTTTTTAAATGAGACCGTATGTTTTTTTCAACTGTACGGTCTATTCCTGACAGCTAAATTACCCCTAAATGTGGGTAATTTTTTTCCTCATGTTTTAAAATGAGGTTAATATTTGCATAAAATTATAAAACAGGCTTCTGTGTAGTTTATTTAGTCAAAATGTGTTCCTTGATCCCAGATGCTGTGGCCTGGGGAAGCCCTCCTTGCTACAGTACAAGTACACAAGTCATTGTACCTCAATTGTGACCTTCAGCAGATTTTATGAACTATAAGATGCAGTCTCAGAGGATCAGCAAGTGGAAGCCACCAGTATTGACTTTCTCTTACTTGCTATACTATCAGCCTGCTCATTTCTACCTTCAAGAATGATTTTGCCAAGAATAATTATATTAAAAATAGTAGTTGAAATGGTAACATCAAAATTATTTTATTCTTTCTTCTTCATGTATTCACATTTTTCAATGGTTTCATTTAATTAACCATGCTTTATGTTAAACATTTTTGGGCTTAATGTCTCCTACAATCCAAAATGTGCATCACAGGAGGCTTTTAACTTTGTGAAAATCCCATGTTTGCTTTATTTTATTTTAATGTCAGAAGGCAGTTTGCACTAATGCTTGAACTCTTTTTTTTATGAAACTCATTAACATATGATGAAATCCTGCCTCATTAATTCAAGCAGAAAATATCCTGGCAGGGATTCTGGCTTAAATATGAAATGTTGTAATAAAATTTCTATGTTACTGTCTCCTGTGTCAACCCACAAGTGATTATCATGAAGGTAATCTTAATATTCCCTTCCTGATCCTTACCAGCAGTAGACTAGTAAATGAGGCCTTTATGAGTTTGAATACCAAAAGTATACAGTTGTTGAGGGGTTTTTTTGTTTTGTTTTGTTTTCTGAGATGGAGTTTCACTCTGTCACCCAGGCTGGAGTACAGTGTTGTCATCTCGGCTCACTGCAACCTTCGCCTCCCAGGTTCAAGCAATTCTTCTGCCTCAGCCTCCCAAGTAGATGGGATTATAGGCTCCCGCCATGGCGCCTGGCTAATTTTTTGTATTTTTAGTAGAGATGGTGTTTCACCATGTTGGCCAGGCTGGTCGTGAACTACTGACCTCAAATGATCCACCCGCCTCAGCCTCTCCAAGTGCTGGGATTACAGGCGTGAGCCACTTCACCCGGCCAGTTGTTCAGTTTTTAAGTGTATAAGGGTTAGACCTCATATCAGACCTTTCCAGCTAAATGTTTTCCAAGCACCTGCTTTTACAATTGATTTTTTTTTCAATTGACAGATAAAATTGTATGTATTTACCATGTACAACATATTGTGTTGAAGCATGTATACATTATAGAATGACTAAATCTAGCTAACTGACATATGCATTACCTCACATAGTGACCATTTTTGTGGTAAGAACACTTTACATCCATTCTCTTATCATTTTTCAAAATTAATTGTAATCTTGTAAGTAGAGTTGTGCAATAGGTCTCTTGCACTAATTCCCCCTATTTAACTGAAATTTTGTATCCTTTGACCAATGTCTCTCCAACCACCCTAGCTCCTGGTAACCACCATTCTACTCTCTACTTCTATGAGATCAGCTGTTTGCGTATATGTACCACATTTTCTTTATCCATTCAACCATTGATAGATGCTTAGGTTGATGCTATATCCTGGCTATTGTGAATAATGCTGCAATGAACCTGGTAGTGCAGATATCTCTTTGACATACTGATTTCATATCCTTTGGATATAAGCCCAGTAGTAGGATTGCTGGATCATACGTAGTTCTATTTTTAACTTTTTGCAGAACTTCCATACTGTCTTCCATAATGGCTGTACTAATTTACATTCCTACCAAGAATATGCAAGAATTCCTTTTTCTCCACATCGTTGCCAACACTTGTTATCTTTTGTCTTATTGATAATAGCCGTTCTAACAGGTGTTAGGTGATATCTTGTTGTTTTAATTTGCATTTCCCTGGTGACTGCTGATGTTGATAATTTTTTCACATATCTGCTGGCCATTTGCATGTCTTTTGAGAACTGTCTTTTCAGGTTCTTTGCC